CACGGGGCGGCCCGACAGCGGCGGTGGACGGGCGGGACGGGACGGGACGGGACGGGACGGGACGGGACGGGAGGCGGCAGGAGGAGGCAGGAGGAGGCAGGGGCTGACCGTGCTCTGCCAGCGCCTCCCCGCCGGCTGCTTTACTGCGGGGCGCGGGATGGGGCGGAGCGAGAGGCAGCCCCTGCGCCGCTCCCCCGGAGAGTGGGGGAAAGGAAGGGTCTCCGGGCCGGCGGTGTTGCCCCAGGGATGTGCCCTGACTCCCAGGTCCCCGGACATGCCTAGAGGTAACACCCCTCCCCGGTCACGGCACGGCTTAGCAGGAGCTTTCTGATCCTCCCCTTCCTCGGTAAGTGTGGGGGTTCATATTGATGACAGACCGTGAAGAAACCTCAGAGCACCCAACGCTCGTAAGCCTGTCATGTCATATACGAGCAGTGAACTTAAGGTTTCCCATCTTTCTCCTCATGCAGGGATATCTCTACACAAGGTACATATACCCTGCTTCTATCAGCAAGCCCTTGAAAAGGCACCCCGCGTAGCTGTGCTGCAGGAATCGCAACTCCTCTTACCTTGTTCAGCGCTGTGAGGCTGCTGGAAACTGTGCAGTCCAAGCCACCCCGCTGCAATGCTCAGCCACTGCCCTCAGCTCCTTGTGAAATGGGTGTTCCTGCTCATACAGGGTAGACAATGAACCTCCTGTCTTTGTGAAGGTATTTGGCATAGGCTTTGAATAACACAGAGGCTGGGGGGGGAACGCTGGGGAGGGAGAAGGAAGCCTAAAAACCATGTCATCCTTATCAGGAGTTGCACTGCTTAATGGTATTGCTGTCCGAAGTTTCATACTCATTCACGTTTCCAACCCACCACATGCTCACACGTCAGGTGTTCAGTTCTCTCAAATATGATTTGCAGGATTCAGGCACACAGGTACGGTTAGATAGCTATAATATTTTAGTAGTGATTCATGTGAGTAGCAAAGTATTTCATAACTTTATGAGGGCTTTGCTACCTGGCACACAGCACTAGCAAGGGAGATCCCTGGTGCACTGTTTCAGGAAGCACCAGCCGCAAACTATTGATTTTTGTCTGCAAGAACATATCACCACCCTTGGTTTTGTGCCACTATGGCTTTAGCACACCACAGAGACGTATCTGCAGGAGACAGTTTTTGTGTCCTCCATACTTGGCTTTCATAAATGTAGCATGCTGCCAATTCAAATATATCAGATTTGGCTTTTCTAACCATAAGTGCTTTCAATTTCTAGAGCAACTGAAAAATATTCTCCAATTGTGGAAAATAAATCAACTTACTGCCCGTGTCCGTGATATTGCTTCCTGCAGTACTTTGTACTTCATTTAACTATGAGAAGTCTGAATACAAAGAAGCAATGCCATCTTCAGATGTTCCATTAAACAAAATGCCACGCTATCAGGATGGCATTCACTGGTCTTTTCAACCTATTGCATGAAAATCAGAAGTATATCCTGGAGTATATATTTTTTTATATATGGAGATCTCAAAGTACCTGATGTAAGTAGCTTTTAAGTCCAGAGCAAGGAAGTTCTTAGAAAGGCCTGCCATCGGTTCACTTGCTGAGTGTAAAATCATAGAATCAAAGCATCAGAGAATGGTTTCTTTGTCCTCTTTTTTGTTAGAGGAATTAAATCAAATTGAATAAAAGCTGAGCAAAGCATGTTTCTGGTAGAAAAGAACTGCTTGGGTACTTTAAGGGAAATCCATTATAAAGTACAATATTAAGAGAAACTGATAAAGATTACAATTATGAAGATTAGAAAATCATCTCAATCTCTTTAAGAGTAATCAGATTATCTCCAAACTGGACATTCAGTCAGCAACCTCCTCCTGCTCCTGTTTATTTCCAACAAGCCATTAAAGATTTTCTCAACAAGAAACCTACTGTCTTGCACAGTATTTGGGGAAATTAATTTACTCCAGTTATCCTGTACATTCCTAGAAACTTGGCTCATTGTTGATTTTAATGACAAGGCATCTTGTGTTATGAATACTTCAAATGCAAAAGAAATAGCTTTAGTGTTTTGGGACACACTTCTTGCACAGAGCCTTGCCTCTGCGTATGTGGGGATTGTGAGCAGCACTACTGTGTTTTGAGACTTGAACTCTTCGGCACCTCTCTCCCTGGTTTCCACAATAGGAAGGGTTTTCTGAGATGCGTAAGCCTAGAATAAGGATAAGCAGAACATAAACCAGGTGATCCAAATACATCTAATGAAGCTTTAAAAAAAAAAACAACAAACCCAACAAAATTCACAGAATATATTATGAACGTGTAGAAAATAAGGCTCAGTAAACTAAGAATTTGAGACCTTGAATCTACTAGAATCTTAGAAATTTTCTTTGACTCTGCTTGTGCGAAGTAACACCTGACAAATTTTTTCTGGAGTAGTTCTGAAGGTAGTTCAAGTACGGAATCCAGCTTCATGAGATCCTTTGCAATCTCACTATAGAGAGAAGAGAGCTGTTTGGTAGGTTGCACAGCACACAAGGCAGCCCTTGCTCACAAGAGATAACCTTTCTCAAACAGGGACTGTCAGTGAATTTATTGGGATGTATCACATGAGAAAACACAGCTTATGTGAGCAAGAACCTAATACTTTAGTAAAATAATGACATGTTCTTGGATTTGGTTTCCTAAAAGTTAAAAATTTCACACATATTCAGAAAATCAGCCCATCAGATAGAAAAAAAAAAAAAGGAAAGAAATCTTCCTGTTCCCTCCTTCATGAAATTATGTACATTTTGCTTAATGTGTATCTAGATTGAAAAAGGTTTTGTTGACCTCCTGTGTGATTTTATTTTTTTGTCCTTTTATTAAACATTTATGCCAAAACAAGCTTTTTTTTTGTTCAGTGTGTTTTCTAGAAATGGAGGCTAAAATGCCACCTTAGAGATTTGGCTGAAAAATCCCTAGATACACCTGAAGATGTAGGCAGATTTTAGGGAAAATTTTTATGACAACTTTTGCCTTTCACTCAAAAATGTTGGAAAAAAATGTTTATAGTGGCATTCCCAACATGGGTACTCAGCACCTTGATTCGCATCAAAAATCTAAGTAACCAAGAATTTTATGTAGGGACCCTGGAGCTACGTAAGGCCAGAGTGGATTATGTATGTGAGGAAGCAGACAGGAGCAGGTGTGTAAGTGGGGATGATAGCAACAGCATGGCCTGTCACTAGCAGATGTAAAACTGAATGTTTTCAATGCTATACTGGTCTGACAGCACTGTGGAGGCTGTGGTGTGACCACACACAGGCATTAGTCTAGCCTGGCTTCTGCACGGTTTTAGGACCACAGGAAGGAAGAGCAGAGTGAGGAGAATGGAGGAGTGAGATTTTTTTCCTTGAATGCAACTCTCCACGTTTCTAAACTCCTTATCTCTTTGGTTTTCAATCTATTTTAAGACAAAGCCAAAGCCAGCAGAACACACAGCAAAGCACTTATGACTTCATTGAACTTTTGCCCACCCTATCTAATGTAGAACTTCATTCTGTAAAAAGTGTCAGTATCAATAATTCATGGAATGATACTTCATCTTCCCTTCATGTCATCTTGTGTTGTAACTACAGCTTCCAGAAACACAGATAAGATTTTAGTAGCTGGCAGCTCTCCGCAATCAGCATTTTTAAGACAGTGGCTCTCTGTGGAAAACACTCTTCTTCAGATACCTTCTCTTTTGTCCTCCCAGCAAATCCTCTCATTTTTCCTTCAGCCTTCATAAGGTGTGCTTTCCTTGCCTCTTCCTGTCTGCAAGGAGCAGACATTGTTGTTTGATGGATGCCAAGCAATTTATGAATAAATGTGGGCAATTGAAAATGTTTCTGAATCTGTATTTTGATGCAAGCTGATCACAATTACATTAGTAAGCATTTACACTGCTGTGATTACAGATCATTTTTTGTGTTTGTGCTTTCTATTTTAAAAGATGTTCATTTAACGATGGATTTAAAATTTCAAGTCAAGAATGCTTGCACAAGTAGTAACAAACTATAGTAGAGCCTTCTCCAAGTGCGTGACAGGTTAAGTGCAATTTTTTGTACTTTTTGGTCTCTCTTGAAATGTTCCAGCTACAAAAATCTTACTTGTGAGTGCCCCCGACTTGACAGGATTGCGGAAAAAACCTTAAAAATGTCTGCTTTGGCACTTCAGACCCTCTCGTTGCAAAGAAGTACTAAGCCAGAAAGTGGAGGGAAGGTGAATGCTTGGTGCTTTACAACATTTTCAGGAGAAGGCAAATTGCCATTTCAAGGCAAAAAAATGAGTCCTCATCAGTAGCCGGTGTGTAGAGGTCATACCAGTTTCTTCCAATCTTGATCTTTGTGTGTTTACCCACTGAGTATCCTAGGGACTAGGGCAATGTTGGAAGTGAGACAACTTCTTTGCCATCCAGTTCCAGTGAATAAATCAAGAGGAGCACTCAGGAATGCAGCTAAAGGTACCTTAAGACTCTCTAAGCAAATTACACTTGGCAGTGTAGTCATCCCCAGCTAGTAGGAATTCAGGTGTCAAGCCTCCCAGGGCACCCAGGTGACACTGCCATGGGCACCAGCAGATTACTTTCCCAGTGAAAACCTTTTTTAGGCTTCATGTAAAGTTTGGGGCATATCGAAGCCTGAGGCATCCTAGTCATTCTTGTTTCTGGGTCATCAGGTGCTGTTTACGTGCTATCAGTCCTGGACAAGTTAGTGGATAAATGACAGATATTACTTTGTCCCTTTAGTAAATCATTGCCAGACATGGATCAGCATTTTGAGATGTTAGGGGCGTGGTTTAGTGGTGGAGTTGGCAGTATTTGGTTTACAGTTGGACTTGATGACCTTAAAGATTTTTTTTCAACCTAAATGATTGATTCTATGATTCTCCACTATGTTGACTACTTGAAGAAACTTCCTAACGGACAATATTAAAATCCATCCACCTTATTCTTTTGAGTCTTAATGGTTTTCCTGTTTGTTCTTGGCTTTCTGTACTTTTTTATGGAGTTGCTTATGGACTTAAAGTTCAAAAAGAAGAAAACAAGTCTTGGTCGTATAATGGCTGATTCTTTGTGAAGAGCTCCCTTTGGTCAGTCCTGATGACTTGTCAGTCAAACATCAATTTCTGGTATCTGTGTCCAGCAAAGGTTTTGTATTTTTAGGTAATGTTACTGTTGCAAATTTAGAAACCACCTCAGGTTTACTTCAACATCAGCTCTAGCCTGCCTATAGTCTCATCAAGTTCTTAAGTTTTAAATAGAACCTTATGTTTAAACGTGTTAAGGAGCAAGACCTTCAGCAGTATAAATTGAGGAGACTCTGGTGTTAAATCTGTTTATTCCAGCTGAGGATCACGTGTCGAATGTAACTAAGAATTCAAACATACTAAGTTCAGGAAGATTAAGATTTACTTACTTTTAGTTTTGGAACTTGGAAAAGATAGTAAATTTAGAACAATTTCCTTGTGAAAGTGCAGAAAATTCAATGCAGAATACCTTTGCTGTTTTTTTTTTTAAAGTATAATTGTAGATTTCCATAACACAGATATAATACATTATCACAATTCTCTATGGAAGTGTTATTTATAATTGTAAGAGTTAAAACTCATAAATGTTGGGGGGGAAGGGTTGTTGTTTTATTTCTTAATAACAGTTTTAGCTATGTTGATTATCAGACACTTCATTAGGAGATGTGATAGTGCTAGCTTTTTAGCTCTGCTGTAATATTATTTTGTCATTTGGGTATTTTATCATACAGTCATAGCCCTATGTTCTTTAGCCAAGTTCTTTCTTTCCAATTAGAGGACTGATTTTCTGCCAGCAGGGCATAAGACAGAGAACTTGAACAGACTGCGCTCTAGCCAGTAACTCAAATTTTGCACCTGGCAAGGTAAGTAGTCTCCATCTCACACGTATAGAGACGACACCTATACAACTTGCTTATGCCCTGTCACCCTTACCCTCAGCCAAAGGTCCAAAGTCCCTTCCTTTGAGGACCTCGACTCTCTCCCAGTGAGGATGAAGTCAATCTCCCAGACCAGTTTTAATAAGTAGGGCAAGTTCCTAGGGAACCATCTGGACCCTGAAAGTTACGCTGTGCAATGGCTTCTGTTTTCCTTGAACAAGGCTTTTGGGACAAAGAAGAAATCATCCATGCAGTTCTGCTGACCAGAATGTCTCATGTGAATGCGACATCAAGAATCTTATGCTTCTGTGCTTAACACAGAGCAGTTTTGTGGTTCTTGTGCAGCTTTGTTCCCCTTCAACAAATCTGTTTACTTAGGCTTAAAGGATAGCTAAAATTTGCCCCAATTTCTTATACTTCTTTTTTCTATCATCTTTGTTAATGAACATATGCAAATCTTCTACTTACAAGAATAGGAGTCAATTATATTCTGTGGGCTAAAAATAGCAAACTTGGGTTAATCTGTTGGTTTTCCTACCCATGGTAGCATATGGGATACATCACGCATTGTTCCCACAGTCCTACGATATGTATGTTCTCAGACCCACATCACCTCCCACAGTAGAATTACATGCAATAATATATAAGCAGTGACCAGGAAAAAGAATGGACACAATATGATTTTGTTTGAATATGCCTTTATATCTCAAGAACTTCACTGCCTATCAAGTTCAGATTCTTCATGGACTCAGATGGTCATTTTCATTATCTGCATTAGTATCAGCCAGGAGTTAAGTGGAATTAGAAAGCCTGCAAACCCAAAGTACCTGAAGGCAGGCTCACCGGCTTCTCTCTGGCTGAGCAGATGGAAAATAGATAAACAATTAACTTCAGACTGAGTCATAAAATCAACATAATACAGAGGATAAGCAGGGAAAGGAAATGACAGATGAAGAAAATATACAGTTACAATCTGTACATGCTGTCTTAAAGCAATAAAACTTCAGGAGACCAAAATTCCAAGACTGGGAGGAGAAGGATAACAAATTTTAAAGCATGATGTACAGATACTGACATAGAGATGTTTAAGTTCAGGTTTTGAAGGCTGAAAGGTGTTTGGACTATAGTGACAATGGCATGCTGGTGCTTATATTGGACTGGAAATTGGTCTTAGATGGTAGTTGTAGTCCTTTCATTGACTTTCTTGACCTATCATTCTCTGTGGCTAAAAGAATTAATTTTCTGGGAAAAATGGAAAAGAGGAAATAAAAAAGCAAATTCATTGAAACACATAATGATTTGTGGGATTATTCTGCACTACTGATTGCAGTGCAATGCTAATTTCTCTCTGATGCCCAGGCATCAGTTTGAAGATCCACATGAAGGAAGTTAATAAATCTCGCATGGTCACTAACAGTTAGGTACCTTACATTGTCTTATACCACCATGTTTGATATGAAATTTGGTATCATTGGAGGGCTCAGCAAGAGAACCATAGAGTGAAAAGAAAGACTCGAGGTAGCAGCTCCCTAGAAGAATGAATGCATACAGTTAGGATCAAGTTGGGTAAGCTCTTCCTATTATTGGATAAAATTTTTCAGGTCCAGTTTTGTAAATTCTCCATTCTATTTTTAAAAGGTTTATGTAATACATAAATATTTGGTTCAGTCTTCCTCAGAAGTTCATAGGATTTGTTTCTAAACTAATTTTTGCTATTTTTCTTACTATCACTATTCATTTCTAAGAGCATCTTCCAAAATAAAGAGTAGCTCAAAGTACATTCTTTATACACTTGTTTCAGTAAAACAGGCCTGTATTTTATTAAATATAATAGAAGGAAGAAACAGCCCATATGGTTATGCTACAGTTTGGCAAGGGAAAGATTAATGCAAATGTTTTATAGGATGCTTTATCAAAGTTAATGCTGATGATTTAAATGCATTTACTCGAACAAGAAAAAATGAAATTAACAGTGCATAATCATAAGAATTCCTTTGCAGAATATTTATGATTTATATCTTTTTGGGGGGGAAATGAGAGGAACAGATTAGTTATGATCTTATGAGATAAGAAGCTAAACTTTAGTTACATTGTTTTAAAATTCTAATTTTTCACAAATCTCACCAGAACAATGATTATGCAAACTTCAGGACTTCTCAGTCTAGTAAATGTGGCAACTTTAGGTAATGCAAAAGATAGACTATATTTTAGAAAACTAATAATATGCTGGAACCATCCCAGTATTTCAGCATCAATTGGAAGAGTACTTGCTACAGCCTTCCTATTGTTTTCACCATTTAAGATCAGGCATATCTTAAATGACTGCTCTGCTTCTTTTATAATGAAATGAATGCATAAAGGTAAACATTGAAGATATACTGACTTGCTGTAACTCTGGAAAAGACAGACTGACCATTCATTTCATCCACTATTTAGAGCATATTTCTCTGCACAGGCACTCAACAGAGTCTGAACATATGGCTTTAAACGGCAAGAGAGTAGATTTAGATTAGCTATTAGCAAGAAATTCTTCACTATGAGGGTGGTGAGGCACTGGCGCAGGTTGCCCAGAGAAGCTGTGGCTGCCCCATCCCTGGCAGTGTTCAAGGCCAGGCTGAATGGGGCTTTGTGCAACCTGGTGTAGTGGAAAAAGTCCCTGCTCATGGCAGGAACTAGAAGACCCAAAGATCAAGGAAAGAGAAGTTTTAGAGTTACTGTCTTACTATTTGCTGATATTGAATCTTGCTGACAAAAAACAATGTACAAAAACGTTAGGCTGATGCTTTCAAAAGAGGACTTTGTCCTGTGTGTTTGCATTTTGAGTTACAAGGCAGGAAAATGGCTGTATGTCCATAGTGTTGATGCATTTGCTTCCAATATCACCTCTAGAAAGTGCTGACATTTCTAAATGTGTATCTGCTTGTCCATTGCTATTTTTAAAAGCAAATAGAAATGAATGTAGTATTTGCATAAGTACTTGTAGATGTTTGGATTGAGATCATAGAATCACAGAATGGTTTTGGTTGGAAGAGACCTGAAAGATCATCTATTTCCAGCCCCCTGCCATAGGCAGGGACACTTTTCACTATAGCAGGTTGCTCAAAGCCTTGAACACTGCCAGGGATGAGGCATCTCCAAATGAATGTTCTGGATAACTCAAAATTTGTGCCACTTCTTTTAATTCTCCATGTATAGCTGTGCCTGAACTGTTCTGGCTTAGGGGAGCTTTGTCTGTAACTTAAAGGCTTTTGTCTGTGGCTTTTAAAGGCAGTGGTTTCCTTTGTTCTAGTGATTCATTTTAGGTAACCTTCAGATTTGTGCAAAACAATGTGACTCAGGACATTCGAAATAATCACTGTGATGAAATATTAGGCGATAGGAATGCAGCCTGCTGCCCTGCAGATGAATTCTGCCAAAGAGGTAACAAATCCCAACCAGTTCAAGTATCTTGCAATCTTAAATATCCTGCCAAGAATCAAGAATAGGGGAGATGTGGGTAGTGTGACCACATAGCCCTAAAAAGCAGTACTGCTACTGTGCTGAGTTTGCAAGGCTTGTCAGAACTGAGGCTTGGCAAGCTTGCCCTCTTTAAACCTTTCTTGATCTCCCCTCAACTTTGTTTTACATGGTTTAGCTGTAACACCAGTTTTACTAAGTGACCGAGTGTCTACAAGTAACTGGTTTTGCTCGTCTTCCTTTGTGCAGTATCACCATGGCTTTATGCCACTAACATGATGGTGCAATTTTAGCTGTACTATTTTAATGTCGATTGGTTTTCTGCATAGCCTTATCTTTTTCTTTTTCTGCAATAATTATATGTGCTTTAGTAGTGATTCTTGGATTACTGCTAAGATTCAGTTATACTAATTATAAATTCTTGGATTTTTATATATATGAGATGTGTTTCCCCTTTGCCCATATCAAGATTTTGAGGGTAACAATAGACAGAGATATACACCATAAAAGGTAGTTTCTAAATGCTTTCTGGGGTAACTCTTCAAAGGGTCACCAAAAAGGAACATACCTTACATATGTGGCTTTTTATTCATAGAATCATAGAATAGTTAAGGTTGGAAAGAACCTTAAGATCATTTCATTGCAACCCCTCCCATGGGCAGGGACGCCTCACACTAGACCATGCTGCTCAAGGCTCTATCCAACCTGGCCTTTCTGTCAAATTATTGTAGGTGGATATGAAAGCAGCAAAATCACAACAGACCATGT